GCTTTCATCAGTGCTTCAGGTTTCTTTAATATGACACCATACTTTCATCAGTGCTTCAGGTTAGTGTCGTATGACACCATGCTTTCATCAGTGCTGAAGGTTTCTTTAATATGACACCATACTTTCATCAGTGCTTCAGGTTAGTGTCGTATGACACCATGCTTTCATCAGTGCTGAAGGTTTCTTTAATATGACACCATACTTTCATCAGTGCTTCAGGTTAGTGTCGTATGACACCATGCTTTCATCAGTGCTTCAGGTTTCTTTAATATGACACCATACTTTCATTTGTGCTTCAGGTTAGTGTCGTATGACACCATGCTTTCATCAGTGCTTCAGGTTTCTTTAATATGACACCATATATACTTTCATCAGTGCTTCAGGTAAGTGTCGTATGACACCATGCTTTCATCAGTGCTTCAGGTTTCTTTAATATGACACCATACTTTCATCAGTGCTTCAGGTTAGTGTCGTATGACACCATGCTTTCATCAGTGCTGAAGGTTTCTTTAATATGACACCATACTTTCATCAGTGCTTCAGGTTAGTGTCGTATGATACCATGCTTTCATCAGTGCTTCAGGTTTCTTTAATATGACACCATACTTTCATCAGTGCTTCAGGTTAGTGTCGTATGACACCATGCTTTCATCAGTGCTTCAGGTTTCTTTAATATGACACCATACTTTCATCAGTGCTTCAGGTTAGTGTCGTATGACACCATGCTTTCATCAGTGCTTTAGGTTTCTTTAATATGACACCATACTTTCATTTGTGCTTCAGGTTAGTGTCGTATGACACCATGCTTTCATCAGTGCTGCAGGTTTCTTTAATATGACACCATACTTTCATCAGTGCTTCAGGTTAGTGTCGTATGACACCATGCTTTCATCAGTGCTTCAGGTTTCTTTAATATGACACCATACTTTCATTTGTGCTTCAGGTTAGTGTCGTATGACACCATGCTTTCATCAGTGCTGCAGGTTTCTTTAATATGACACCATACTTTCATTTGTGCTTCAGGTTAGTGTCGTATGACACCATGCTTTCATCAGTGCTTCAGGTTTCTTTAATATGACACCATACTTTCATTTGTGCTTCAGGTTAGTGTCGTATGACACCATGCTTTCATCAGTGCTGCAGGTTTCTTTAATATGACACCATACTTTCATCAGTGCTTCAGGTTAGTGTCGTATGACACCATGCTTTCATCAGTGCTTTAGGTTTCTTTAATATGACACCATACTTTCATTTGTGCTTCAGGTTAGTGTCGTATGACACCATGCTTTCATCAGTGCTGCAGGTTTCTTTAATATGACACCATAGTTTCATTTGTGCTTCAGGTTAGTGTCGTATGACACCATGCTTTCATCAGTGCTGAAGGTTTCTTTAATATGACACCATACTTTCATTTGTGCTTCAGGTTAGTGTCGTATGACACCATGCTTTCATCAGTGCTGAAGGTTTCTTTAATATGACACCATACTTTCATTTGTGCTTCAGGTTAGTGTCGTATGACACCATGCTTTCATCAGTGCTTCAGGTTTCTTTAATATGACACCATACTTTCATTTGTGCTTCAGGTTAGTGTCGTATGACACCATGCTTTCATCAGTGCTGCAGGTTCCAGTGTTATAACACCATGCTTTCATCAGTGCTTCAGGTTCGTGTCGTATGACACCATGCTTTCATCAGTGCTGCAGGTTTCTTTAATATGACACCATACTTTCATTTGTGCTTCAGGTTAGTGTCGTATGACACCATGCTTTCATCAGTGCTTCAGGTTTCTTTAATATGACACCATACTTTCATTTGTGCTTCAGGTTAGTGTCGTATGACACCATGCTCATCAGTGCTTCAGGTTTCTTTAATATGACACCATACTTTCATTTGTGCTTCAGGTTAGTGTCGTATGACACCATGCTTTCATCAGTGCTGCAGGTTTCTTTAATATGACACCATACTTTCATCAGTGCTTCAGGTTAGTGTCGTATGACACCATGCTTTCATCAGTGCTGCAGGTTTCTTTAATATGACACCATACTTTCATTTGTGCTTCAGGTTAGTGTCGTATGACACCATGCTTTCATCAGTGCTGCAGGTTTCTTTAATATGACACCATACTTTCATTTGTGCTTCAGGTTAGTGTCGTATGACACCATGCTTTCATCAGTGCTTCAGGTTTCTTTAATATGACACCATACTTTCATTTGTGCTTCAGGTTAGTGTCGTATGACACCATGCTTTCATCAGTGCTGAAGGTTTCTTTAATATGACACCATACTTTCATTTGTGCTTCAGGTTAGTGTCGTATGACACCATGCTTTCATCAGTGCTTCAGGTTTCTTTAATATGACACCATACTTTCATTTGTGCTTCAGGTTAGTGTCGTATGACACCATGCTTTCATCAGTGCTGCAGGTTTCTTTAATATGACACCATACTTTCATTTGTGCTTCAGGTTAGTGTCGTATGACACCATGCTTTCATCAGTGCTTCAGGTTTCTTTAATATGACACCATACTTTCATTTGTGCTTCAGGTTAGTGTCGTATGACACCATGCTTTCATCAGTGCTGCAGGTTTCTTTAATATGACACCATACTTTCATTTTGTGCTTCAGGTTAGTGTCGTATGACACCATGCATTCATCAGTGCTTCAGGTTTCTTTAATATGACACCATACTTTCATTGCATTGCTCAGGTTAGTGTCGTATGACACCATACTTTCATCAGTGCTGCAGGTCCTTTCTTTAATATGACACCATACTTTCATTTGTGCTTCAAGTGTCGTATGACACCGCTTTCATCAGACATCAGGTTTCTTTAATATGACACCATTGCTTTCATTTGTGCTTCAGGTTCGTCTCGTATGACATCATGCTTTCATCTTTGCTCCCTGGTTTCTTTAATATGACACCATACTTTCATGAGGGGCTTGGGTTAGTGTGGTTAAAGCGTTGGCTCGTCACTTCAGACCCGGGTTCGATTGCTGCAGGTTCCAGTGTTATAACCCATTTCTGGTGTCATCAGTGCTTCAGGTTCGTGTCGCATGACAGCGGCGTAAAACTAAATTCATTCATCAGTCGTCAAAGTCGTGTGTTATGACATCATGCGTTCATTTCTTTGCTCACTGGTGTAGTTCGTCCCTGTGGTATGACATCATGCGTTCATTGCTTTACTCCCTGGTGTAGTTCGTCTCGTATGACATCATGCGTTCATTGCTTTGCTCCCTGGTGTAGTTCGTCTCGTATGACATCATGCGTTCATTGCTTTGCTCCCTGGTGTAGTTGATTTGGCATCTTACAGAAGACGTTAAAGACAGTACTCCTTTGTACCCAACCTGGAATTACGTTGATCCACCAAGGACAGGTCAACAGGGAGTCAATATACTGTACCATAGTGGGCTGTCACTACAGCACTAGTCCTGACTAGCCACGTGGCTACGTACTATGTACCGTGTACTGTCAAAAAGGTACAACATGTACCACTCTACCACTCACTCATTATAATCAGCTGAGAAATAAACAGATACCAGATTACCGGACTAGTACATGTAAACACACATACGCACACACACACGCACGTACGCACACATGCAAATCACTGTAAACTTTTGAGGTCACTTGGTGTTTCAATATTCAATATTTTTCTCCCATACTGTTTGTCTAAACACTGTCTGCATCCAGGAATGATTGTTTCCTCTCAAGAAATCATAGGATTACGACATGTTCAAAGGAAGACATTTTATTTATATTCTCGAAAACAATTGTTTGCAATGTGAAAATAAAAAACAATAAACCATAAGGTCATATTTGAACATATACTTAGCATGTAAATGCTTTCCGTATACAAGGTTTTCATGCCCTATATCTTGTATCATCTTGTTACACATCACACAACGATTATAATGCGTTCCCTGAGATAATGGACATTCGTGTGTTCATCATGATAACAATAAACTATGACATTCGACAACCAATATATGAAGACAAAATAAAAATATATTGCTCGTGGACAAACTATTAATGGGCCACGTTTGATTTTTTGTGTGTAAATGATGTTGACTTTTCGGCGTAGAAGTATAATAATATAGATGAGCCAAATGTAACCCTGGTAGCTGACGAAATATTACTTGAACTAGCAGAAAATGTAATCGGGTTCGGTTTCACAAAGCGATGTCGCATCATTCATAAGCTCATATAGACCTACGACAGGCGTAGCGCTACGACCACTTTGTTGAAGGGGCCCTACTCTACGAGTATGTTCCTCAATTGAGGTCTCACTGAGGATATCATAAATGTGGGTGTCATATCTGAAAACACAGAGCAATATATAGGGCCTGTAAGTCTCGCGAGGCGCTACTGCCGGTTCCCAGCTCCCTTTGCGCGCGCCAACTTGGTTGGTCACGAATGTTGCGATATGCGAGACGGGGCCCAGCTTACTTCCGGTACCAGATTTCCGGTGACAAGCGTATGTTCAAGAACGAAATCTGGTTCAAACTGCGCGAACAGCAGTCTGTAAATAATCGAATCTGGACCAGACAATCCATGTGATAAAAAGCATGAGTATGAATATACGCAACTGGCATACAATGATATGTGTCAACCAAGTCAGCGAGCCTGGTCATGGGATTCTGCCGCTTTTACATGTAATAGTAGGTAACAGTCCTGGAAGGATTACTCTGGAAAACGTGGAATTATCATCACTGGTCATGTACATGCACAAGAATAATACTGTCAATGTTTTACACCACACGCTAACAACACTATCATACTCATATGTGTTAATAGCTATTGACTGCAGCGTTGGCACAAAAAGTATTATGCGATAGTTATGTTCATTACCTTCAATGTGGGGTGGTGGGGTAGCCCAGTGGTTAAAGCGTTCGCTCATCACGTCGATTCCCCACATGGGTACAAAGTGTGAAGCCAATTACAGGCGTCCTCCGCCATGATATTGCTGGAATAGTGCTAAATGAGGCGCCAAACTAAACTCACTCACTCACTCTTTTTTCCTATACGAAGGAAACAGCACCTAAGTTCAGCCATTTCGTTTTCACCAAATCCCTTTATCTGAAAGCTCTTGGATGTAGTTTAGTAAAATCTGCACCTTCATCTTGTTTATCCCCAGACCGTAGTGAGCACCATCAAAACTCATCACACCTTCCGTCAGATTGAACGTATCAAACACAGGAATACCCCATGACGTCAGATAGTTGTTGATAATTGTGTTATACTTCAGAACACTTTGGTAATTCTGTTGAGGTATCCGTGGAGTTTTTAGAATTCCCGGAGCATGAGGTCCCGCCCATAATACCCTCGGCCATGCTTGTTTGGATTTAACAAGAGTGTCTAGCAAAGGATGCAAATATGAAAACATTACGGGTCTTGGATTATAATTTTCATGAATGCCTATACCAAGGATTAGAAGGGATTTACTGGTGTTTGCTAAGCTGTGTGTAAGTCTTGGTAAGGAGGCTCCGTTTGCTGATGCTACTTGTTCGTTGAGGACGACGTTCACTGTTCCATCGCAGACTGACACCCGTCTGTCCAACCAGTTCCTGCACACCTTTTCAGTAAACATGTACATTCCTCGGCATTCCTTCTTTATCACTGGAACAAGAACAGTCACACAATGCATCACTGGTAGACATGACATGCACCGACAAGTGCGTTATTACAAGAATCTGAGAAAGAAAAAACACACCAGATCAACAGCAAACAGCAAAAGAAATATTTCAAAAAGATCTGGATATAATTGGACACAGTGGTGCATGAACAGTTAATCTCAGACACTAGTTCGTAAATATAAAAAGAAAATACTAAAGGGCTTAGGCTTAGGCTTGCCTCACACACCAACAGGACAATCAAATACATCTGTAAGAACATTGTTATTGTACGAACATAGGCTTTAATATTTAAATACTTTATTAAGTTTTATCCGTTTTTGAATGGAGACCATTAAAAACATACCATAGTTTATGTCTCGGTACTGAATCTGAATTAAATGATTTTGAGAAATCTACAAAACAAGCGTACGATTTGCCACCTTTCCTAGGAACATAGTTACAAATTACTGATTGAAGAACAAATACGTTGTCTGTGGTGGTTATAGCCTGCTCTAAAACCTGCTTGTTTTTCGTTGATCATATCCAAAGTTTTTGTCTCAGAGTCAGTGCACGTGATTGGTCTACAAAAGCAAATTCATGCTTCGGAAACCTACTGCAATACATGGGCCTTGAATGTTAACCCAGATATTTAATTTACTAAAAAAATGATTTTAAAAAAAAGGATAAAAACTGTAAAAATCAGAAAAGTGAACATATAAATCAGTTACGCTTGAGATTGTTACTTCCCAACTGTATCTTGGCGTATTATTTAGTACGACTCTAAATTGGTCCCTCTTTGCCGAAAACACTTCAAGTAAGGCAAAAATGCTTTAGTATATATTACAAAACGCCTGTGTTGCTTTAAAGATTTGCCATATGATATTTGCTTCAAAATATTCGACTGTAAGATATTACCTATATCATTATGCTTGTCAGAATTATGGGGCTTTCATAAACTTGGAGAGGGTATTACTTTATGCATGTAAACGATTCCTTGGTTTGCGAATGTCTACACCAAATACAGTTGTCTTTGGAGAAACTGGTAGATATCCTATTCATGTGTACACACTTACACGTTATATTTCTTACTGGTTAAAGCTCATCTCAATGCCATCTTCACGGTTGCCATCAAAAGCTTACAAAATGGTACGTAATCAATGTTTAAACTAAAGCGCCGAGAGTAATAGGTTGAATTCTGCTTTACATGTGAAAACAGTTCTATTTAGATTTAGTCAAGGATGTGCGTGGATATGGCAGGAAGTTGGAAATAATGAACATTTTAAAATTTACTTGTAAGAAGGAACAAATATTGCTTTATACAGGAGTGGCATAAAACTAAATAGTCCCTGTACTTATTCCCCGTTTAAAGAAAATGTCATGTGTGAACCATTTATACGCTACATCAATGTTAAGAAAGTAAGAATAGCCTTAACACAGTTTAGTTCAGTTTAGTGTCATTTAAGGTGTTATAAGGGACATTTTCATAACGAACCTGTTGTGTGCAAATACTGTAAATTAAATGTCCTGGAAGACGACTACCATGTCCTGCCAATTTGTGATCATTATAGTATCATTAGAAGCAAATATATCCACAGTTATTTTACGAAACATATGTTTATCCAGCTATTGCAAAGATGGAGATGTTCATTACAAGAATCTAAATTGCCCAAACCGAGCGGTGGTGAGAATGAGAAGTATGATAGTCAATGGTCCGCTATGAAGACGCCCGTTTAAATGAGATCGTACTTCAAAATAAAGCAATGAAAAAGGTGAATGAGTGAGTATGGTTTTACGCCACCTTTAGCAATATTTCAGCAATATCACGGCGGGGGACCAGAACTGGGCTTCACACATTGCACCCATGGGGGGAATCGAACCCGGGTCTTCCGCGTGACGAGCAAACCACTCCGCCGCCCTAATGTAAAAGGTTCTGAACCATACGATTGATCAGGTAATGACAGAGTTTAGGATTAGTTTTGACAGATTACAATGTCTTTTGGTAAAAAATAACGATCTTTGTTCATGTGATTACGTTCATAGATATATCGCCTTAGTGTGAATGAGTATAGTTTTACGCCGCTTTTAGCAATATGCCAGCAATATCACACATTGTACTCATGTGGGGAAACGAACCCGTCCCTTCGGCGTAACGAGCGAACGCTTTAATCACGAGACTACCCCACTGCCCCATATCGCCTTAGAAAGGCTGGTGAACGTCATGAGTTTAGATGCTTGATTGGCATTTTAGAAGATGATATTTGATGAACATAGAGATTTTTTCTGGGTTACATCTTCTTTTTATTCTCGAGTACAACGTTTCAGGGCTTGTTCTGGCCCCATCATCAGGTAAACTGAACAGTAACTTATTCACTAACATTCCTCTAGAAGAATCCCTAGCAATCCTACGATCCCGATTAGAGTCCTGTATAGACCATATCGACACAAAACTTTCCATCGACAGCATCATCAGCCTTGTATCCAGCTGTTTTGAAACATCCTATTTCACATGGCAAGATCAGATATATCAGCAGATTCATGGTCTGCCCATGGGATCTCCACTCTCACCTCTCATAACTGAGATATTCATGACCAACTTTGAGGAAATTGCTCTGGCTACTTCACCATTCCAACCACTATGTTGGCACAGGAAAGTTGATGACACGTTCTCTATCCTAGACAACCATCATGACCCCAATGCACTCCTAGATCACCTCAACAATCAACACCCTAGACTTAAGTTTACGATGGAAACAGAACAGCATAACAACCTCCCTTTCTTGGACATCGCCATTGACAACTCAAACAACCAGCTCATCACGTCGGTCTATCGGAAACCTACCCACACAGACCAATATATTCACTATCACTCAAACCACCATCCCCAAATCAAGAGAGCAATTGTTGCCACACTTGCGAGACGCGCGAAAAAGATTTGTAGCCCTGACCTACTGCAACAAGAAACAGACCACCTGATGACAACATTCATCACATACAATGGTTATCCAAAGAACCTTGTTGAAACCACCATAAAGAAAACACTACAAGATCAAGTTCAGCCTCCTCCGAAACCTGAACCATCTCCCATCCGCATCAACATCCCGTATGTTGGGCCCATCAGCCACCAAGTCAGCAGACTCCTAAAGAAAATGGCCAGCATTGACACCACTTTCTCATCTGGCAAAACCCTTAAAACTTTGCTACGTGCAAATGGTAAGGGATGCATTCACGCTATATCCAACCCTAAAGGCTGCGTGTATAAACTGAAATGTGACTGTGACATCTACATTGGTGAGACAAGCAGACCAGTAGCTACACGTGTGAAAGAGCACAAAACTTCAGTGGACAAATCAGATCTAAAATCTGCAGTTTCTGAACACATTATGAATAATCCTGATCATGAAATTGACTGGGAAACTGAAGTCCTCTCAAAAAACATCAGTGCCTGGCGTAAACGCAAGTTGATTGAAGCTATCTTCATCAAACGCACAAAACCAGCAATAAACAGGGACCAGGGTGTCTACCTCCCAAATGCATGGTACATAAAACAATAAGACAATACCCTACCCTCGTCACTGTTCCCATGTATAAAGCATAATTTTCTATGTATACACTGCTATTACTTTACATTCTATACATTTATAAATACGTCTCTGTACATTTCTAATTCAATCAACAATTTTGTATAAGTATCTGCACAGTTCTAAATTGATCCATTAATTTTGCAGTAAATGACATCTTATATATTCATAATAACATGTATTCTATGAGCCATGTCATCTGTATCTATTGACCACCACATGTATTGCGTCGTCATAGCATTGTGACGTCATAAGCATTGTGACGTCACGGCCAGAGTTAACAGTTACTGTTCAGTTTACCTGATGATGGGGCCAGAACAAGCCCTGAAACGTTGTACTCGAGAATAAAAAGAAGATGTAACCCAGAAAAAATCTCTATGTTCGTCATGAGTTTAGGTAAATTCTTGTTTAGTCCTCTAATAGAAGGTTACACTTCCTCAATAAAATACAGATTCTAATACTTTCTTAGGGTTGAATCTCACCCGGGATTGGAACCCACACCCTCAGATTGAGATACCTAATTGCCAGCGCACACAGCTGACGAGTGTGGGCTGGCGAAAGTGAATATTTAAAGGAGATAAACATACCCTCTGAAGCTGTCTGAAGTATTGCCCCGTGTTCAAAATCATTTCTCAGCAACAATATGAGAGCCGTATAGATGTGACGTATAAACGAGTCTCCACTGATATAGAGTAAGCTCCCCTTGAGAAGACGACACGCTTCTGTCTGTGTGTATTGTTTTGGTTGGCAGTCTGGATTAACAGGTGTCCATGTAGCATATTCAGCATGAATCTGTTGCCGCATGTCATAACAGTTAGGGCAGCGACACTGCTCCTCAGTGGCCTTGACGCACATGCCATTGAGACAGCAGGGTTTATCTCCCCTTGGATTACACAGAGCACGGAACCAAAGTAAAGGATGGAGCTTGTATGACGCCATCGAATCAAACGTCACGTTTCCACAGCGACCATCTTTGCGGTCAAGCGTCATCGGTATGCTGTGTCCACCACGAGTTTTTAAAAGGAACAGTTCCATTTCCGTTTCTTCTAAGTAGGTCAGATTCCTCTTTTTCCAGCTACCCTTCAACATTGATGACAGGACATCAGGGCATTTCCTTCTGGTTCTAGGGTACACACTATCTCTTAGAACAGAGGGAAGGTCTGAAAAGGATGATCCTTCAAGATCGGTGTAAACATGAGTAGCATATATGGCACAAAGAGACAGGATGATGAGAAAGATCAGCATCTTCTTCTTCTTCCGTAAGGAATCTGAGCATAGTACCATAGTTGAAGAAGTGTTGATGCTGTCGCTGTCCCGATCTTGAGTGGTGACAAACATCATGTTTGACCTCTAAGCTCTTAGACATGCCCCTGGAATCATTCTGAAAACAATAAATATGTAAATAACTCCTTCTTAGGAGAATCAATGATATGGCGGAAGTCGTGGCGTTGCCAAACGATGTCTCTCCCACACCTCTAAGAAAATCATTACATTTCCCCCGTTCAACAGAATAACCAAACATGTATTTATATTTTGTCAGCACGATCCTGCCGTTTATTACGTCCAGAAATCGAACAATTTCATCGAAAGTATTTGAAATGTTTTCTTTCGTTCTTTTATACGTGTATATTATTACAAAACATGAAAATACGTGCAACACTAACCTCACTCACTCAGAGTCACTATGTGTGTAGTAACATGATCAAGTAATGGCCATAGTTTGAGTATAGTGTTTGACTTTTATGAAATTGAATCTTCTCATTCTAACTGTTATGCCGGGTTTAATGGTTGGGGTATCTATATGTTTGTCTTCAAATACACAAGAACATCAATGAAGCAACAACATTTGTCATTTGTGACAATTGCATGGTTGTAATAGCACAGTAGTGGCCAGGCGACATCTTGGAGGCGTTAGTCAGTCCACCTGCCAGGCCGATCTCAAGGGTCAAGTACCGACTGACACAAAGCATTATGCATCTAACGCAAAGGCGAGTGAGTTTATTTTTACGCCGCTTTTAGCAATATTCCCGCAATATCACGGCGGGGGACACCAGAAACGGGTTTCACACATTGTACCCATGTGGGGGACCCGGGTCTTAGCCACTAGACTATCCCACCGCCCCCAGCACAAAGGCGAACCACTGTCAGACTGACACGCATGGCGTTTCTTTACAACGCAAGTATTATCAGTCGGGTGTATCCCAGACTTCATCCACAAATGCAGCAGTGACTGACCACCGTCTCGCTTGTTAAACTGGCACCTGAACCCTGCCGCAGGCCATGGTCATAAACCCGCCCATGACCGTGGTATTTAAGCTGTTACTTAATTTATGCTGACAGCAATATGATGAATGTTCTATATATTGTCGACCTTGTCCTTTGGTCTATAGACCAAGGTGTCTTTTCGACTTAGCTTTAATGGTCGACCATGACCCTGGACCTACCTGACTGATTCCTTAATGCTTATTTTTTTGTAAATGTGTATGTTAACGTACACACATAAAAGTAACTGTATAAGAGTGCAATCCCGACTGTATATACGTATTTAACTAAACTGCACTTCCGGCAATATAAATCAGATTAAAACGGCAAAATTTGCGAATGTACCTAAGTTTCTCTTATTGTCTAGAAAATCCATATACGAGAGAGTGAATGTGTTGTGATTTACACCGCTTAAGGCAATGCTCGAGCCATACCCAGATGTGGATTTCACACATAGACACGCACGTGGAGAATCCAACACTCCTTCGCCCTCGCCCCACACAGTCCCTCTCAAGACAACATGCATGCTCCATCAAATTACAAAAACAAAAAATGACTTGCGGTTGATTTAGGGAAAGGTAATCAATACAGGCCAACTTCCACCGAAACACAAGTATTGAACAACGTTACAAGCTCACAGGACGCGTTAATACTCCATAAGAATACTTTAAGGCTGTCGCAGCAAATCCAACACAAACCTTCATCAGGACGTTTCCGTGGTCAGTGCTCCTGGAATTATCGTCCACTGATCATGTAAGTACCTCTGGCTAACCTTCCTTCTGAGGTAGTACACACTTCTTCACACACTTAACCTTGGCACCATACTGCGATCAATGCTTGGCTAAAAGTTACATATGAACCGGGGACCCATGAAAGATTTATACGCTCTTCTCGTCCAACTTCTGCTACCCAAATTAATTTGATCAAATATTGATGAACCTATATTCCTTATCGTGTTCATAACATGCTGGTGCTAGTGGTTTGCTCCGGTTGTTGGTGTTAGCGTTTTTGCTGCGTTTGTGGTGAGGAATTTCGGCTTGAGTGAATGAGACGAGTTTTACGCCGCTTTTATTAGCTGTTTTCCAGCAAAATCATGGCGGTGACACCAGAATGGGCTTCACACATTGTAACCATGTGGGGAATCGGACGCGTTAACCACTTGCCTATCCCATTGTCCCTATTTCGGGAAGACATTACTTGAGAACAAAACAGTTGCTTGTTGTTTATATATGGATTCCCCGCCATCTAGCTAGACTATTGCTGAGTGCGGTGTTATACAAAAACGGATGTTGATTCTTAATCCGAAAGGATACATACGGGTACGTATACTTTTTTATTGATTTATTTAATTTTAGTGACTTGAATAAATCAACCCTTCATTTCGTATTTTGGCTTGGCCATGGAACCCTTTTTTCCTCGATGGTCTTGGTTGATCATCCTCTTCATTAAGTGATAAACTCACTAATCTCTACATGATATCCGATTAATACAACACAATAACAAAAGCCCATTACCACTGACACCAAAGAGGTGTAAGCTAAATTCTCATTGAACTCAGTACCAGTGTCCTCGGTGTTCAAATATTATCATCTATATAAAACCTCACTTACTTTAGAACCTTATCTTCTAGATCTACCATCAAAATTTCGTATCTGGTTAACAAAATTAAGAACTTTTAATCATAGATTACCCATTGAAACGGGACGATGGTTTAATATTAATCTAGAAAACAGAACATGTACAATTTGTAAAAATAATATTATTTGTGACGAGTATCATGCTATTTTATCATGTACACAGCTTAATGTCGAACGTAAGAAGATTCTTCCCTCTTATTTCTGTAATAATCCACATATGGACAAATTTATCTCACTTATGAAATCAAACTATACCCCACTCCTATTGAAACTTTCACTTTTTGCTAAAACTGTGCTTAGCCACTTCTAAATCAAAATACCTACCCATATGATATTGTATTTAAACGACTGTATGTTCTCTATATCATTCTGTATGATTTTCGAGAATAAACAATTCTGTTCTGTTCTGTTCGGTGTTCAAATTAGCGTCACGGGCCGGTGGGGTAGCCCAGTGGTTAAAGCGTGCGATTGCCCACATGGGTACAATGTGTGAAGCCCATTCTTGGTGTCCCCCGCCGTGATATTGCTGGAATATTGCTAAAAGCGACGTAAATCTAAACTTACTCAAGGTAGCGTCTCAAAACGAATTATATATACAAATACTGCGATATAACACTATGTTCAGGGGTCGGTATTTGTAAACAGAAATAACCATTAGTCCTATCACCATTACGAGAACAGTAATCACAATGTATCTAATATACAAAACTTAATTCCGATTCCGATATTCAAATCATTATTGAGAATTGATAAAAGACGTTGGATATAAAAGCGAGAGAGCTCAATAGGAATGAAACAGTAACGCAATCTCATACTCAAACATATTGTAACGAATATTTGATCTTATCTGAACAATAACTACAGCTATTTAAATAAATGAATCACACTTTCCTAATATCACACAAAGGGAAGGGTAAACCAGAACAAACCTTAATCCACGAAATATGAACAGTCCGTCCGCTCCGTATCCTTCTTGTCTGTGACAATACAAAGTGTCCCTTCCGTTGATGACTGAATGTCAATCACAGAGAACATTTACCACAGCTGTCCGTATCAGCAATAAATCAACTAACATGACAGGTCACCCCGACTGTCACAATTGTCAGGGAAGGTAACATCAATGATATCCGAGACATAAATGGTGTATTTATACTTTGTTTAGTGTATCCCAGATGCCCTCATGCCTTCCGGGTTCGTAGGAACTTGTCCGACAAAAGAGCGGACAGAGCCTTAGGCCACGTCACAGGCGGCTGGCAGCGGCAATGTTAATCCTAATGAGGGAAGGCTCTTCACGCAGTCCCGATACCAAGGCTTGTCTAGACAGTGCATGTTTTATTGCATATAAATTAGTACATGTGTGAATTAACAATACATTTTATATGTTAATATTTAATTACTGTATTGTTCGTGGTCATCACCTATTATCACATCATACGAAACGTACGGTAGTACCGTAATTCTTTCACGGGCCCTTTGCAAATGTTACGTAACGCTTACGTATTGTTGGCACAATGTTTTATGACGTAATGTTGACAAAATTGACCCTACCACTTTAACTGGTCACACAATGTCAAGGCTTCCCACACACTCAGTGTCAAGGACACACATCACACACTGGACACCGCGACAACAATCAATGACCCGTCAGCCGCCTATCTCGCCTCCTTCAGTCTTGTAGCCCTATCTTTCAACTCACAGTTAAAGTTCAACACCCTTTTTCTATAGTATATAGTTCCCTATATATTAACCTTGCTGCCAAATTCGTAGGCCCCAATTATGGTTTACGCTCTCATTTACTAGACATATATAATAGATTAAGATAATCTCCTCAACAAGCCCAACTCGCCCCCCTCGTCGGTGACATAGGCCACAGTCTGAAACAGACGTTAAACTCCAAATGATGATGATGATGATGAAACAAGAAGAAAGAATACAAACCTGACAGTAAACATAAATCCGAGATAACTAAGTGCTGACCACGTGGTTCCCACAACAGATCAAACCTTGATGCTCGGACGGGCTGACCTTTTGACATAAGGGCAGCATTTATATTTTTTGTATTTCTCATCGCCCGACCGACCCTTCTAATTTTACTGCCGCCCCCCAAAAAGACAAAAACAAAAACAAAACAAAACAAACAAAACAAACACAAAACAAACAAAACAAATAAAATAAAATAAAATAAACAAAAAAACAACAACAAACAAAACCCCTCAAAACAACAACAAAACAAACTAACAAAAAAAACACCAAAAAAACCTTTTTATTTCATTCCAATACCGCCGACTCGAACCTAAAACGTACCGCCTCATCATATAAAATGTTTATCTACAGTACAACCAGAAATTATTGAAAATTTAAAGATTGTAATTTTTTTATTTTCTTTCACTCATTACTCACGCATTAAATGTGAATATTAGCAGAACATAACTCCAGATTCAAAGACAGGTGAACAGTTAGTATTTTGTCAAGTCACCAATGCAGGCTTCAATGTGGCGGGGCATACTTCTGATCAAAAAAGTTAGAAAGTCGTGGTCCATGCTGTCCCAATATCGGACAACCTCTTCTTTCATTTCAGCAATATTTGTCAGATTTTTCTTATTGACACTTTCCTTCGTAAGTCCCCAAACATTATCTATTGGATTTAGGTCAGGGCTATAGCTTGGCCAATCTAATAATGTCATATTTTGGGTCCGAAACCAGGCCTGTGAATGCTTTGAACGATGTTTTGGGTCGTTGTCCTGCTGGAAAATCAAAACATTTCCATAGAACACGTGAGCACATGGAAGTAAATGTCCCTCGAGAATATCTGTGTACCGCTCACTGTTCATATTCCCTTCAAATACAAAGAGGGGCGTTGCCCCTAACACAGATATGCCACCCCACACGTTACATTTTGGACTGTACTTTGGGCGCTGATACAAGGTTTTTCACTTTGTTTGGTCCAGAATTTCAGTGTATTAGGAAACAGCCACACAGAACTTTCATCTGAGAAAATCACAATGTCCCAGTTAAAATTTCTATGTTGTAATACAAGCACCAGTTCAACCTTCGCTTCTTTTGTTCAGATTTCATGATCGGTGATGGAATTCCTCGACTTTTCTGCCAACCCATTGCATGCAG